ATACATATACATATACATATACATATACATATACATATACATATACATATACATATACATATACATATACATATACATATACATATACATATAAATATATATAATAAATAATTTTTATTTTATATAATAATATTTTGTATATAATATTCTTATTTTTATGTATAATGGTAAATAATTTTTATAATTCTTATTTTTTGTATGTAAAATAAAAACATTTTTATATGTATAATAATAAATAATTTTTATAATTCTTAATTTTTGTATGTAAAATAAAAAATATTTTTATATGCATATTTTTTATTTTTTAGAAAAAAACTTGGCTTGCAGTCGAGCTCGAGTCGAGCCGAGCTTGAACTTGCGAGCTTTGAACCGAGCCGAGCTCGAGCTCAAGTTTCTAGCTCGAATCGAGATTGAGCTCGAGCTCGAGCCTAACATAGTTTCAGCGAGCCGAGCTCGAATAGCCAAGTATTCGGTTCGGCTCGGCTCAAATCCACCCCTACTTCCCACACTGCCCAATTAATTGCTGCCCTCAGTTGTTCTCCATATCACCCTTCCTCTTTACTTTGGTTGTCGAAGAAAGATAGATTCAAAAAGATCTGCCATGCCTGTGGGAGGATTTCACCTATGCCCTAGGAGGGAGGATTGCCCTTGGAAAATCCTGTTATTTTCTTGTTGTACTTCTTTATATATGCTAACCTTGTCATAGATTAGATCATAATGTCATACTTTTCCACTGAACTGTTTGTTAGTAAGGGAACCATAGTTGCCAAGGCATCTAGGTGATTTTGGGCGATAGTGGGGTGCCTAACCTAGTCGCCTAGGTGATGAAAATTGTATAAAATAAAAAACTAAAATTTTCCTAGTGTTCAATGGGAAACCCGGGGATGGCAGGTATTGATGGTGTGTTTAGAGACTCCTCAAGTAAAGTGCTGGCTATGTATTCAGGACCCATAGGAGAAGGGGACTCTCTAAAGGCTGAGCTGATGGCGCTGTTACAGGGCTTAAAATGTGCTATGCAATCCAATTTCAGAAACCTGGAAGTTGAAGGTGAGTCAAAAGTGGTTATTTCTTGGATCACTTATAGTCACAATGTTCCATGGGTTTACAGACATGCCTCAAGGGAGATAGACAGTCTGGGAGGGGACCTGAATGCTTCCTTCAATTGGATTCATAGGACAGCTAATGGGATGGCCGGCACTTTAGCAAAGCAAGGGGTTTTGAGGCAACAATTATTCTTCTATTGTAAATTAGTTATTTGGAAATATGTATTTCCGGGTGGATGGATCCCCAAGCTGTTGTATCGTTTACCTCCAATTAGTAACTTAATCATTTTTTGCTGATAATTTCCCTAGTTCCCTAGTTTTATATACCATTCAGCATGCATATTAATTAAAAAAATAGCATTTCTCTTTATTAAGAATATTACATTTCCTCTCAAAACATGGCAAATCATCATATCTACAAAAATAGTATTTCAAAGATATTAATTTCAATACTTTAAAAAACAATACTAATATAATAAGTATTTAATAGAACAATTTCATATAAAAATGACAACTAAAGAAAGCTATAGCTTTATATGATAACATTTAAGATAGAAAGTAAAGGTGAAAAAGAACAAAGTGAAAGTTCACTTTGTGGATGTTTATATTGCATCTGTGTATGGCATGGTTAACCTTTACAAAGTGAAGAAGAAATAGATATTCTTTTGCTGCTGAACTCATGTTATCACTTATAACACATTTTATTTTTGATCAGAAACTCAAAGAATTTTATTAAAACTTAAAAAGAAGAGAATGCAGGAAGAAGTTGTTAGGAATAAATCCCTTTACAACAAAGAGTCCCACCACCGTTTTAACGTTGAGCCCAAAACAAATGATTGTCTATTTACTCCTTGCTTAGCTAACCCACCCGCCAACCCATTAGCGGACCTCCTAACCCATCTTACATGAACTTGCATTTGTTCAGACAACAACTTGAACCGCCTGAGTTCATTTCTGAATTGCCATAATACTCCTTTTTTCAACCAACCAATGATTTATTTTCGAGTCTCTTCTACAATCAGCCTTGTGATTCCCATTTCCTTAGCTTTTTGCACCCCAACAACAGCATCTTTGAGTTCAACTCTCACTGAATCACCCTGATCAATAGGCCCCGGAAACAAACCACAGATGTTCCCACTCCCATCTCTAATAACTCCTCCAATTTCGAAGGGTCCTGGATTGCCAAAACTGCTCCATCAAAGTTAAGTTTGATCCACCCACCTCTTGGGGGAGACCAAACCTCCAGGATCTTTTGTTTCCCAGAGGAAGAAAGGGCAATCAACCCCCAATTTCGAAAAAAGTCTTCCACAGAAAAATTTGAGAAGAATAGTTTCAAGGTCTTCACCTAGTGTGCTATACTTACTGTAGTTTCCAAGATTGCCTCCTTATTTCTTTCTCTTTCCTCAAAGATTCTTAAGTTCCTCTCCTCCCATACTGTCCACACAACCACTGCCCTTGCACACTTCCGTAAGATTCTCTCTCTTCTCTTTGTGCTTCTCAGAAAGGACGGGCTAAAGAGCCTTTCCAAACTAACAGGAGGGATCCACCTGCAACCAAAAAGAGAGCAAAATCATTCCCAAACACAACAAACAAAGGAACAGGAGATTAAGAGGTGGAAAGCACTTTCACCATTCAACTTGTGTTGATGCACCAATGGTAAACTTCCCAACAGAAGGCACTGACTTTTGGGGGGATAGGGGCACACCAAACTTCTTTTACAGGAAAGGAATGGGGAGAAGAAGTGGCCACAAGGGAGGAGAAAAAGGATTTATAGGTGAACGACTTAGAGGGACTGAGAGATCAAACCTGCCTATCATTCCCTGTATCAACCCAGGGGATAGGGGCACACCAAACTTCGCATAAATGTTTGGGACTCAGAATTGGGTTCATTGTCCTCTCTACTCCAGCTGCTAGATGGGGTGTTTCTAGACACTT